AAAGTATTTCATCAAAGAAAACTGGCTCATCTTTGGAAAATTTGATTTAATTTAATATGCTTTAATTTAGTATGCTTGTCATTCATCAAAGCCTGTGCTTACTGAAAAAAAGTATCTGTCTGTTTTTCTTTCTTCAAAGAATAGCTACCCATTAAATTCCTATAATTCACAAAGCAATTTTTTTTAAAAACCCTCTGGATACCACTCAAGTTGTATACAGCAGAAATATTTCACACTAAAGAGAAGAATTGCAGTGCTTTCTTTCTGCATTTATTTTAAACTGAGAAAACAGCTAGCTTCTTGGATTCAATGGGAAATGCAGAATTTTGCCATTTCTCTTATAAACTGATAAGCAAGCAAGCCTAGCTTTCTTAACGATGGGTTGTCATTCTTTTAATAAATCTATGAATCATAAAGTGAATGTTTTTTTCTCTTTTCAGTGCCAACAAACAGCAAATGGGAAAGTGTTATAGAGAAAGGGTTTCCTTCTTTTTATTAAATATAAATCATTGGGCATCTTCCAGATACATACTGTTCAATTTCTATACAAATGTGCCATTACCAAAAATTCTGGAAGTCTAACAAATATAAATAAATAAATAAATAAATACTAAAGGAAGATGTGATTGTGTTCTTTAAAAAGGATGCTTATGTGGAAGGAAATATAGATGACTTCTTCTTGGAATAAGGAACAGAAAGGATTGTAAGGAAGGACTTTAATTGCAAGATGAGTTCAATTACCTGAAGCAACAATAGGCCTCCCTTTGCTAGAGATGTTTAAATAAAGACTGGATGGCCATTGATCAAAACTGCTGTTAATTCATTCTGCATTACAGATCCCATTTACCTTTGAGCAGGAGATGGCTTCTAAGGTTACTTCTAATAGAATCGGAATATAACATTTGGAGGATCTTAAAGATCATCTAATCCAGGGCTTTTCAACCAGTGGTACGTGTACCACCTGTGGTACATTGGCACCTGGCAGGTGGTACGCAACCATCCTAGAAAAGTGGTAGTGGGGGAGGGAATGAGCTGAACCGGTGGCAGCACCACAAAAGCCTGAGCGAGAGATGGCTGGAGCTGCAGGGCTGTCAGGGCTCGGTGGAAGCGCCAGGATCAGCGCCATGCTCCAGCTGGACCTCAGTGCTGATCCTGGTACTTCTGCTGAGCCCAGAAGAAGCATCGATCAGCTGGAATATTGCAGCATCTCCAGGATCTTGTGATTTACATTCAGATGCTTGGCAACTGATTCATATTTATGACGGTCAGTGTCCCAGGGTCATGTGAAGTGACCAAAACCTGCTGCAACCACCCAGCAGACGGGGAGAATAAAACCCAAACACCCACCCCACCCCACCCCCGCTGCCAATCCTCAACAGAAATGCTCACAACAATGAAAACCTCGGACAGGAGGAAGAGCGCCGCCGGGCCTGCCTTGCTCAGCTGTGGCTTGGGGGGCACTTTTTTCAGTGCCATTGTAACTTCGAACAGTCACTAAGCGAACTGTTGTAAGTTGAGGACTACCTGTACTTTATCACTTTTTTCCCTTTTTTTTTTTTTTTTGGTCATCAAGTTTTTGACACCTTGCTAGGCGACTGGTGGTAGTCAGGTGTTGCCATATCCTAAAAGTGGTACAATGGGTGAAAAGGTTGAAAAGCCCTGATCTAATCCAACCTCCTGACTAATGCAATGATTATATTGCCCCTAACAGATAGCCATCAAGACTTTATTTAAACATGTTCAGCCCAAGAAAGTCCATGTCTGGAAGCAGACTGTTCCACTGCTGAATGACACTATTAGGATTTTTTTCCGATGTCTAAATGAGATCGGTTGCCTTGTAATTTCTTGTCCTGTCTTCTGGAGCAGTTCTACTCTGTCAGGTTGAACATTTCATTAGCAAATCTAACCCATGTTGCAATTTAGCACAGACATTGTCTTGTGAACTAAGATTGCAGTACAGCCACTTTAAGTTACCTATAATTAAGGATGAGTTACTTTTGCCCCCCCCAAGGAATGTGATAAAAGCAGCATGGTATGCATCAAAAGAAGCATTGATACAGATAAACAAAGGGCCCTAGACTGTATGCTTTTTATCCCTGGCCTTTTGCTAGAGGTCAAGAATCATAAAAACACTAACGAGTAAATTTGTACTACAAATGTGAGTAAATCTGGATTATAAATTTTATAGAGTAGGGTGATAAAAATCTCAGCCATCTCTGCAGTTTCTTTTTTCCAATGAAAGGTCTGGCTGAAGAAAGATGACTTTTCATATGATAATTGGCACATTTAGAAGGTGATTTAAAAGTAATTATTAGAGTTCAAATTTAAACATAGCATATCTCAACATATGGCTATTCAGCCAGTTGGAATGGGACAATTCACCACAACCAACTTGCCACAGACAACTCACCGCAGCCCACTCACCGCAGGACAACTCACAATGGGCAACTCGCTGTGGGACAACTTGCCATGGGACAATTTAACACTTCAATTTAATTATTTAAAATAAATTTTTAAAAAATATTTTTAATTTTTGTCATTCACATTTCATTCTGTCCTCCTTTTGCATCCTTTCTTTAATGCTTCTATTCCACTATTTCTTTGATAGTAGCATAACTTTTGTCCTGCAAAGAGTTGTCTCACATCAAATTGATTGTGGCGAGTTATCCTGCAGTGAGGTATCTGTGAGTTGGCCACAGCAAGTTGGCCATGAGGAATTTTCATAGGCCCTCAGCCAGTTGTTCTTCAGCTATTACCACCAAGTGTTGGTCTCTGTCCTCCATTAGTGTGCTTTTCTGTTTAAACCAGACTTGAACTGAATAGCCCCTTAAGCAGAATGCCCTACCATTCTACATATCGTCACCTAGAGAATGCTAGTGGATGTGTCTAAATCATGTTTCTCACCTATGGCTAGGAAACTAGTGGATGTGTCTAAATCATGTTTCTCACCTATGGCTAGGAAAATCTACTGGCTGGATTGAAGCCTACACATCTTCAAGCTATTGAGGTTGAATAACTGGTCTAGTTCCATAATTCACTCCTTTATCACTACTGCTAGAAAAGCACATTCTTTTTAGCAAGAACTATGATTAGCTTCTTAAGGAGTGGGCAAGAATATTTGTTATCACTTGCAGTATGTAGCCAAAGAATTTCTTTCTCTTCATTTTTTTAATAAAAAAGTTGTCCCATGTGCTGACTCAGAAGATGAGAGGTTTTGCTTTTCTTCTAAAGAGAAATATCATCACCTATCCCATAGAAAAAAGAAGCAACATATTCATCTTTGAACTTTTAGATAGACTTTGAATACTCATAGCATACACAGCTTCTTGTTTATCCTTGTCCTTCTTCGGGAAATACAATCCCTGACCATTTCTAGGATGAGAGCTTGCTATTGGTAAGCATAAGGCTTTCCCTCCTCATATTAAAAAAAAGTAAGGCAACTATCTTCCTTTTCTCTCCTTTCCTTTTCTTTAACTACTCACAACCTGCAATAGCTTGGTAAGGGATCAATTCTTATTTAGTTTTCAGCTGCAAGATGACCAACACAACTCAATTTACCTCTCAGCAAGAGTCCCAAAAGTGATTTTTTGAGAGACAACTGAAAAAGTACCTTTGGGACAACCATGACCTGGATGACTGAGAATCTCCATAGACTCTCAGCAAGAGTTTTGATAGGAACTACATGGTAAAGCCAAGCTTAGGCTTAAAGGTGTATAAGATTGCAGGATTCAGGAAGCAACACATGGCAAAGCATGTTTCTATTTCAAAAATTTCAAGTTAAGTGTTTGGTATTTCCACACAGAATTGTGCAAGTCCTTTGCTTCTAGTTTTTATAGTCCTGAGATAGAAAGTGTGCAGCCAGCCAACTGTTGCTGAGCTATAATTTCCAGCAACTGGCAACATCTGGTAGATAATGTTCCACTCACCCGTGGAATGGCTAAGAAGTTAAATGTCTTGACTCAGCACAAGGCAGCTTCTTTTGATCCAGTGAACTGACAAGTATGAGATTACATTGTCTCGTTGCAATCTTATGCATATTTATCTATAAATAAGGTCCACTGAATACATTGGAAACAGTTTGGATTAAACATACAAAGCATTTTACAACATTCTATTACACTTGGATAATGATATATTTATTTCTTTTCCTGCACAATAACTTCATAGTCCTTGGAAAAAGCCAACCGTCTTTCATCTTATCAGGTGTGTTTTATTGCCATCTGGTTACACAGTAATTTCAACCTAAGCTTTACAACGAATCACATGATGGAATATCAACTCACCAGCAGTTGTATAATTGGGCAAATAAGAAATTGTCTATTAGTACAATCATAGGATAAAGCAGTGAGTAGCAGCAAAGGAAAGGGAGTTAGAAAGGTAACATTTGAAGGTAAGGAAAAAATCTGGAGAATTTCAACTTTTTTAAAAAAAGGTTTATAAAAATATATCCTTAACTAAATTTAAAGTAAGAAAAGCAATTAGAAGGAATGGAAGAAAAGGTGGTCTTCTCAAGTTCTTTCTAATGGACCTCTAACATTACAATTATCTGTTGGGATACTTCCTAACCAGATGTGTTCTTTTAGGAAAAAGCATTTTTCTTCTTCTTCAGGTGTCCTTGATTTTATTATGGTGGCCATCCATCACTCCCTAATATTTGCAGAAAGAATAGTTTAAAAAAAAACAGAAGATAAGATGAGAAAATGAATATGCGAAGATGCTTAAACCTTTTAAGCTGTAAAGAGGGGGTACATTTTAATATAGGTGAGGCTGAACACAATTTCAGTTCAGAATAAAATTATTGGTCATGAATTAAGATTTCTAAATTTTGTGGAAAATTTCCAAGAGGGAAATGGGCATTTTTCTTCTTTTCTGGTCTTTTGAATGTAAGAATAGAACTCAGGAAGGAGAGAAAATCAACTTCTACTTGCCTTTTCCTTACATAAAATGAACAACCAAAAGAATATGACATATGCCAAGAATATTTTGTTTACTATTGTGGAATGAAGATGAGCTGCTCCAAGGAATGTGACAAGAAGGAGAAGCCTATTTTGTCTTTTTCTATAGAAGCAATCTTAAAAAATCCATCTACTGAGGCTTGCCTCCACAATACGGTGACCTGCAATAGCCAACCTGGAGTGGCTCAAAAGTTCAGTTCTAAGCCACTTTTGGACAGGTATAAAGGTAGGAAATTTGTTCTAGTTTATGAAACATGTGAACATTCTTATCCCTTTGCATGATATTCAAGTTGATTTAAAAAAAATACTTGTAGTGTGTTGAATTCATATTTTAGCATGATTGTTAATATTTCACAACATCTAGCTTCTATGGATATTTTGAATTTGCTTTATGGTACATTAGGAATATGACATACAACATTTTGAGCACAATAATATGGAATTGAAGCTTATTTTCCAGATAACAAAATGGTACCATAAATTGCCAGATTTGCTTTCCTAGTTTTCTTTTACATTTTAATATATAAATAAGAATATTTATGTATGTATTCATTAACTGTTGTTTTTATCCAGGTTATGAGTGTGTGTGTGTGCTTTAAAGTAGGGCAAAATTAAAAGCTTTTCATTTATGTGCTTTTTATTTTTAAGGACAGTTTGTTATCATATTTTTCTAAACTAAATTTGAACAAGTTGGATGTAAGAATATCTTCTTTAAAATGTTATGTTCTAATGTCACACCCAGAGCTTTAAACATATTAGTTTGTTGCCTTATAAATCCCTAAGGAACATCTGATAGGTTTGTGGAAGAAATGTTATTGAATTCGTATTAATGGGGAAAAAATCTAATTATATAGATCTGATAAGGACAAAGTACATCGTCTGAAAAGGCCAGGCTTTTCTTTAAGTAATATGGGAACCCTACAAAATGAAGCAACTACTTAGCAGATAATACAAAAAATGCAGTTATATTGAAATACTTCTCCAATACATGGCTGTCCAGCTTTTTCTTGATGTCCACCACCTTCCTAGGCAATTGGTTTCATGGTTATATTCTTCCTGAAGCTTAAGTCCATTCTTCCTAACTTCTGGGACAATAGAGATTAGATATTGACATTCTTCAGCTGACATCTCTTTAGGAATTTCAAGAGTGCCATCATGTACTTCCCCTATATTATCCTAAGCAAAGCATGGTTAGTTTCCACATGATTAAACATGAAGGAGTAGAAAGCAGGAGGGGATGAAGTCTGACAGTGTATCTTCTCATTATGGGCTGATTTGAAATCTGAAAGTTTAAACCACTTCATGTCATGTGGAAATTGCACTAGTGTTAGTATATTGAAGAGCCCACAGCTAACAGGCATATATAGAGAAGCAGTTGCACATGCTTTAAGAGATGATGTATAAACATTGTAACAGCTACTAAAATGAAAAGTCTGTACTAATCTGAAGTTATACTTGAATCTGCTGTGCTAGTTCTGAAACAACACTTCATGTGCACAAAGCATTAGTCTACACTGCTGGTTAAACAAGCTATGAAATGCCAATGTTATTATGAAAGTAAATCTGAGCCCCCAAACACCCAATTGCTGTATAAAAGCTTGCACTGTTAAGGCAACATTACCTTCATGCAAAATGTGCATTGATAACATCCATTGTCATAGGTATTTGAACAGTCCTAACTTAGTCCAGCATTTGGTGTCTCAAAGTAGCCTTCTGGATGCTAACAAGAAAAAACCTAGGGACATGTCCCTTGCCAGCTATTATTCCTTTGTAACTGGTATATAGAGGCATGCTTTCCCTAGCTTGGACAGGATTTTGAGAATCCAAGGCTAATAGATAGATAGATCTATCCTCCATGAATTTATTGAACTTCCGTTTTAAAACTATCTGAGCTCCACCATTTCTCATGGGTAATGAATTCCAAAGGTTAATTAAGTATTGTGTTAAGAATTACTTGTTTCTACCTGTTCTAAATCTCATGTTTTATATCTAATATATGAACTGAAGTTTTAGATGATAATTTATGAACTATCAGAACAAAGTTCTCTTCAGCAATAATTTGAGTTCTTCTGCTTGAAGCTTCACATCTACAATACTGTGAAATACGCATTTGGTTGCAGCCATTTGTAAGCTCGCTATCACATTAAGAGACATGCTTGTCATTCATATTATGCAAGCCTACAGAAAATTTTTAGTGTACATTTTAAAGTTGGAATATGTATAACAGCCTTTACATTTTTATGAGTGTATGCCTTACTTCTCTATCTCAAAAAGTCTACTATTATTCTTTACTGAATTACTGAAGAACGATGGTCCCACATTTTGCATCTGGCTATCAGTCTTTAATCTTTCTTTGAAATAATTTTGCCTAAAGTGAATTCATATATTACTTATATTTTTTCCTCTGCATCTTACTGCATATGTAGATGCTGAAGCAGTTTGAACCAAACCTTGAAGCCATTTCTCAATCGATTATTAACATTTCCCTCAGTCTGCGGCAAGCTAAAATGTCACCATTACTGGAAGTCAAATGCTACATTTACCAAAGAAAATGTCATTCTGCCTCCAAAGCCTTTTTCTCAACATCATCTTCCCACTCTTAAAACCTTGGTTTTTACCTATTCCATTTCCTTCTTTCCCTTAGAGAGGTTATTTTAAAGATTTCAAACAAATTTCCTTTTTTTTTGTTTCTGATAGAAGGAAGCAACTAAAAATATTGAGGAGATTGGCGTCATCATAAATTAGAATTGGCATTTTTATAGATTTTTTGTGCGTACAAGACAAGCAGAAATTCAGGAGCCAAAGCAAGGAAAGGCTATTTTCTCTTAGGGAATGTACTTTTAAAATGAGCAGTCTTGTTAGATTCACTAAGAATCAATGGAAGCAGAGCAGTTTTTTTTTCTCTTCTGTCTAACCTTTTCATAGTGCAGTGGGGTGAGAGTGGTGAATAAACTTAAAATCAGAGACATTTGCAAGTATCATAATTACCAGCTTTCTTCAGATGAGGACTATGGTTCCCTTTGTGAATTGGATGATTCAGATCCTTATATTGTAGTCAAAATCACAGTCATGACTGCATGACCATGGTTATCATTTTGAATTTTTTAACACATATGTACTCCATGTGCTTCCCCCTCTTTTTTTTACAGACCAAATGCTGTACAGTGCTTGACCTTTGAATGCTGGGACTGCACTCCCAAATATAATGAATAATGTCAGGATTTAATTATTGTTTAATTTTATTTTTTAAAAAAACCTCTTAATTCTTCAGTTATGTATAGTATTCAACAATTTTCCTCTTAAAAATTAAGAGACATTTAATTAAAAATTATGGCTCATTAATACTTCAGGTGCTTTGATTTTAGATGTTGGCTGAGAAAATTTAGGACTTGAAGTCCACACAACTTAAGGTGGCCAAGTTTGAAAACCGTTGATGTAAAGAGAACAGAAAATTTATCCACCCAGTTGTTGCTTTGAATGGCAAGAAAGCCATTGTTTGGTTGATAATAAAACCAGAATGAAAAATGTTCATTTTGACACCGAACCTTTATATTAATTTAAAGCTGTGGCTTTTTACTAAATTCAGAATGCTCTCAGGTTACCGAGGAAAGCTACAGCTGACAACGTTTTGCCTTATTTTTGCACAACCACCAAGAATTATTAGAATTCATTTTCCCAATGGCCCAATTGTTTCTGTATGCAAATGAACAGTGAAAGTAGGACAGACCCATTTTTGTCTTAGCTCTAGTTTTTAAAAAGATAACTAAGTAAACACATATATTATCCTGAACAATTGACCCAGAAGAGAGGTAGAATGAAAAATGTGTTACTTTGGTCTGATATTTGTCTTCACTGTATGAATAATGACACTTTCAGATTACATGGATTATTAAAACTAACTGAAATAATCAGTAATAGTTGTCAAAAAGAAAAGAAAAGTTCCATTAGCCAACCAAATGAAATGTCATTCTGTTTAATTATTATTACATGTATTTCCTTTCCTTCTTATTTCATTGCCAGACTAAAAATCTGAAAAGGTCACATGCTTGCCTTGTATTCAGTTGTATTTGGATGTTCACAAGTTTGTAATCACCTAAAAAGAGTCATATTTCAACCGTGGCTATTTCTTGGCTAATGTTTTTACAAAATTCTTATCACCGTGTTTTTTTTTCTTGCACCTTTTCTCCCCTTGTTTCTTCTTGTTGAATGTTCCCTCTCTTCATGAGATTCAAGACTACTGGAATTTTCTTCCCATTGAAGAATAACAGAGTTGGAAGGGACCTTGGAGGTTTTCTAGTCCAATCCCCTGCTTAAGCAGAAGACCCTATACCAGTGATGGCGAACCTTTTAGAGATCAAGTGCCCAAACCCACTTATTTATTGCAAAGTGCCAGGGCCGCATCAGCATTGTGGTGCCCTTGGGGGGGGGGCAGGGAGGCTCCTCTGAGTGCTGCCTCTGGCATGCAAAACCCGGGGGCACAAAAATGGCCCACCATGCTGCAAGGCGCAAAAACAGCTGCCGGGGTGCAGATACAAGGTGCTGCACCACGTAAGAATGGGGCACGGCTAGTGAGTATCATGCAGGCACTAGTCCCACCCCATTTGTAGCATATCCATGCTCATGGGCCCCTGTGCGCATGTACACATGTAAAATGCTTCCTCCCTTTTCTTCCAGTCCACCAATCGACAATGGTTGGTGATCTCTACTCTACCACCCCTACTTGAGCTTGCTAGTCGGCCGCTTCGCCTCCTTTGTGTTGGGTGGGACTCCTGCTCCGGGTGGCAGTGGTGGCCTGATGGACCTGCTGCTGGTGACAGTGGTGTGTGTGCCAACAGAGAGGGCTCTGAGTGCTGCCTCTGGCACACGTGCCATAGGTTCGCCACCACTGCTCTATACCATTCCAGACAACTCACTCTCCAATCTCTTCTTAAAAACCTCCAGTGATGGAGCACCCACAAATTCTGGAAGAAAGCTGTTCCACTGAATAATTGTTCTCACTGTCAGGAAATTTCTAGTTGTAGGTTGCGTCTCTCCTTGATTAGTTTCCATACATTGCTTCATGTTCTGCTTTCAGATGGTTTGAAGAATAGTTGGCTCCCTCTTCTTTGTGGCAGTCCCAAGCATATTGAAAAGAGGGACTAGGGGCAAAATGATAGCAGTGTTCCAATATCCTTGGGACTGCCACAAAGAAGAGGGAGCCAACTAGTTATACCCAATTCCTGCAAC